TGATGCTGAAGTCTTGGATGTGTATACAGGAGTGCTGGGTCCAGAACATCCAGGTACATTGACTAGCATGGCATATCTTGCAGTAATATACCAAACACAAGGAAAATATGAGGAGGCTGGGGAGCTGGGGTTGACTGCTTTGGATCTGTGTAAAAAGGTCCTGGGGCCAGAACATCCAGATACCTTGAACAGCATGGCAATTCTTGCAGTAATATATGAAAGACAAGGACAATATAATGAGGCTGAGGAGCTGGAGCTAAAAGTTGTGGATGTGCGGAAAAGAGTGCTAGGGCCAGAACATCCAGATACCTTGACCAGCATGATTAATCTTGCAGCCAGATATTCAAAACAAGGACAATATGAGGAGGCTGAGGAGATGGAGTCAAATGTTGTGGATGTGCGGAAAAGGGTGCTGGGGCCAGAAAATTCAGATACCTTGACCAGCATGGCAAAGCTTGCAGTACTATACAAATGGCAAGAAAAATATGAGGAGGCAGGGGAGCTGGAGCTAGATGTTTTGGATCTGCGTAGAAAGGTGCTGGGGCCAGAACATCCAGATACTTTGGCCAGCATGAATACTCTTGCAATGACATACTCAGATCAAGGAAAATATGAGATGGCCAGGGGGCTGCAGCTGAAAGTCTTTGATGTGCGTAAAAGAGTGCTGGGGCCAGAACATCCACATACCTTGACCAGCATGGCAAATCTTGCAGTAATATACAAAGGACAAGACAAATATGAGGAGGCTAGGGAGTTGGAGGTAAATGTTTTGGACCTGCGTAGAAAGGTGCTGGGGCCAGAACATCCAGATACTGTGACCAGCATGAATAATCTTGCAGGAATATATATAGTCAGCCTAAGGCTAAGGAAGACCAGAGGAAGCCGAAAAGCTGCAGATGGAAATGTCTAATTTTGGTAATTGAGCAAACTTTGCAAATTGAAGAGGAATAAATGGGTGAAGAGCATTCAGCTTATTGATGTTTTTTTTAGTTTTTAACAGCCTTTTGTCCTGTGGATGTACCTTACAACACATTGTAAACATAGTATGTAACAACATTTTTTTTACATTTGGATGTCGCCTTTGCACAATAGGCCATGTCAAAATACAAAATTTCCATTGGTTTGTTCTAATTACAATAAAGGTGCAAAAATGTCACGTAATTTTGAAAGTCTGATACACTGATTTTTTTTTCAAATTTTCTGACTTGATCACAATCTGATTGGATGTCCTCTTTGAAAAAATAACAAAGATACCATGAAGTATGTAATTATATGTACAAGATACCACTATGCAGTAACTAGGAAAGAGAGAGCCATCTCCTGGCGTTTTTTGTCTCTAAAGAAGGCAGCCAACTCTCCTCTATGTATAGATAAATTAATGGGGTTTTTTGTGTCGATGATTAAGGGGTGGGATAAAGAGGACGGTGAATAATGGGATAAGTGCCATGGTGGCAACAGATGGGGTGGAGAACATGATGATGATGAGGAGAATATGACGGTGGGATGTGAAAAACCAAAACACTGATAAACTAAAATGAATAAGTTACAAACCAGAAGGGAGGCCTAGAATAGAAGCACCCCATTCCGGTGATAATACGTGTCAGTGAGGGGAGGGGTCATGAAAGAGGACGTGGCAGGGAGAAAAAGGAATCGCAGGAATGGAGACGGAAGAGCATGAGGTGATCGTAAAGAAAATAGAAAGAAAAACCAAACAAGAAGGCGAGGGGTAGATTAGAGAAAGAACTCAACGGCCCAAATAACCAAAATCAAAACCTGCACCCTCTACCTGAGAGTCGGCGTCCCAGGCCTAGACGCAACCTTCCTCCACCACGCCCTAACACCATGCCCACCACCACCCTCCAAATGCGCATCCAACCCCAACCCCGCCCCTACCACACCCCCATGCACAACCCCATCCTTCTCAACCACCACCCTCCCCTCCGGCGCTGCATGCACATGATTCACGCTCGACCTCACGGACGGAGACGACTTTTTCGACTTCGCCGACGAGGATGAGGTGGTACGCACGCTCGCGCTGCTGCTTGACGTGGTGCTGGCGCTACACACCGACCCCGCCTTCTGGTTCTTCTTCTTCTTCATGCTCCCTTCTATCGAAGGGTGCAGAGGCGTGTATGTGATGTGGGTGGGATTCGAGTTCGAGCCTGCCCTCCGCCCGATCGTCGCGTCTTTCTCCCCCTCCCCCTCCAAGTCTGGTATTGACAAACCGAGCCCTACTGGTTTCTTCGACTCGGAAGCGGAAGGTTTCTTCGTTTTGGGTTCGTAGTAGGTGAACGGCGATTCCCTCCTCTTCTCGGACGTCTTCACGGGGTTGAAGAGCGCTTCGATGAGGGCTTCGGTCGTTTTGGGTCCGTAGGCGACGTGGAGTCTGTGTACGTCGAATGCTTCGCCTTCCCCTTCGCCTTCACCTTCTTCTTCTCCATCCTGGTTCAAATCAGCATCGACGTCTTGATCTAGATCCCGACTGATGTCCGCATGCCTAGACTTCGCCGTCTTCGGCGCCCTCACAGTCCGTAGCGGGCCCCCAAGCAAATCAAACTCGAGCTCTTCCTGATTTTGGTAAGGCCCATAGAGGTCGAGCTCCCGGGGTCGTTTACGATACGCGTCGTTCTCCAAGAACCCAGCGATGCCCGTTAGGATTTCGCCCTTCGGGAGAGGAGGTGGGATGTACTGTGTTTCGCCGCCGATATGTTCCAGTTCGATCGTTAACTAGCTCGCGACAATTACTACTCCATTCTCAGTTGAAGTAAAGAGGTGAGAACGTACCTTCAAGGTAGCATTCGTCTTACTCTCTCTCAACAGATATCTCCGCTCTACGCTCCCCTGGCCAACATATTCCGCAAGGTTCAGATAAACCGCCCCCAAGCGCGGATTACTCGGATTTCCATCTGGATCGTCGGGAATTACGCGCTGCATCACCACCAATTTAAGCGGGTTGGGAAGAAGTCCCAGGGTGTCTCGTTCGATGTCAAATCTAAGCGTCGTAGAGAGTGTGTGCTGCCATATCACGGCGTGATCCTTCAACTTAAGGAAGGGCGTCATGCCGCGTGCGGGGGAGGGCGGGGATGAGGCAGTGGGGCAGGAGGGAGTGGGGAAGGCAAATGTCGAACCGGAGGAGGTGGCGCCTTGTGAAATGGTTACGCGGGAGGCGTTGGCAGAGGGAGACGCAGAGAAGAGGGTGGAAGAGGTGGCGCTCCAGTCTGCTGAGAGATGTTGTTCGGGGTTAAAGGATGTGTGGTTGGACGAGGAAGAGACGTGGCTTGACGTCGTCTGTGTAGATGCCCCCGATGCAGATCGATGGGTGTGAACGCTCAACGTCTCTGATGCGCTTCCAAACTCCCTCAAGGACGACGAGGCGTGGCTTGATGTCGTCTGTGCAGATGTCCGGGAACCAAATCGGTGGGTCTGAACGCTTGGAGTGCTGCCCATCCCAAATTCCTTCAGAGACGACACCGACGCATCATGATGACCATGACGACTTTCCCCGCTCTCGAGGCTCTCCACATCTTCGTCTTCCTTTGCTTTGCCTTTACTAGTAATACTAGAATCGCACCGCAGCCTCCCAGCCCGCGAACGCGACCTAACGATCCCCAGAAACCCTGGCCCATGCTTCGTCCCAGGAGGGGTGCGCACGCCCTTAAACTTCCAGCGCACGCCAAACTCGCCTCTCATGAGGGGGACGCTGGATATCTGGTGTATCTGCACCTTGACGTGAAAATAGGCGTGACGCGGCCTGAGATGGTTAAATTGGGCGCGTAGGCCTGTAGGCGTAAGCGGTGGTGGTTGGGTGGGATCATTAAGATTAACAGTGCTGAGAGGTTTGTGTTGGAAGATATGATGTTTGGGTGTCTTGGGTGTCTTTGGAGGGTCGTTATCGTGTTGTGGCGTTGCTAGGTGTCGACTAGAATGCGAGGACGGTGTGTGTGTCGAGACTGGCATGTCGCTTATCGCGCGGAGGTCGTCTGGGATGGTGATGGGGACCGTGATGAACGGCTAGAGGAGGGTGGTGACCATTGTGAGCAAGATGAATGGGCTTCTCTTGTTCAAATCCCCAAAACAGAGCGGGTTTCAGAAAATATATCACCGTCATGGTCGGCAGCCATCGCGGCCTATACGGGGTTAGCGGGAGATGGCCGAGGTCGGCCATCTTTTTTCCCACCCATTGCCGGCTCGCCGTATTGGTTGGAAGAAGGATGGAATCCCCCATGGCATCATGCCGCCATGCGTGGGCACACATGGGGCGATAGTGGGCAGGCACAGTCGAAGATTTTCATAATAGCTTTGAGATTAATACCCATTTTAGCTGGGAGCAACGAGGAGCAATAGATAGATTGAATGCACCCACGTGTGTGAAATATGAAAATAGGTAGCTCCAGGTGGCTGGCGTCCGAATTCCATATTGCGTTTTAAAAAAAACCATGACGGACTCGAAAGTCAAAGGAGGACAATGTCCTCTTTTTCGCTGAAAACCAGAGCTCAATTCATCATCGTACAGCTTTTCAAACGCAATTGGAATTCTTGAAGTTCTTTCGTTGCAACTTGTAAGTTCTGCATTCAATATGAAGGACTGGAAGTGAACAGTTTAAGCAGGCCAAAAAAAAACTGATCCGAAAATAAGCTTGAACGTGAGAACCACAGCACATTCAACAGACATGAATCCAACTCATGAATCAGCTAGAGGGAGAAAGAGTCAAGATGCATACGGGGAGTCGAGGCTGCTGAATTCCGATCAAGATAAATGATCGCATTTGCCGTAGCTGCTCCCTCACCACCAGCAGTTGCCCAATCATTGTTGCGCATACATTTTGATTGTGTACTTCAGAACAACTGACCAAATGATGTGAACACAGTTCACAACCTTCCACCTGTGCCAAATCCAGAGCTCAAACGAGTTGAGGACATCTGCCACAATTTCTCCCAGCCATAGAGATGATAGTAGTATGTGACAGAGAGGCGCGTAGTAAAGTTATTTTTGGAGCAGGCTTCAAGTGCTTATCAAAATAGACGCAAACTCGGCATTGACAATGCCGGTCATACCGCTTGCCGCTTCTCCTCACTCACCTATGTACTTCAAATTCTTCGCTGATTTAGATATATAACTCCCAACCATACATGTCAACAACTTCAAGTCTAGGCGCTAATCGATAACCCTTTGCCTCCTCAACAAGCTTGAATCCGCCAATATCATGTCTACAAAGAACTGGAGAGACCTCGCAGCAGCAAAGAAAGCCCACCAGCAAACAACCATCCCCAGCCAATGGATCATCTCGAACCCACCACTAAAGGATCAACTCGACGTCAGCGCCTTACCAGATTCCTATGGAATCCTCTCCGCGAAGGATGTGGAGATCACGAACTCTCAAGTCGACGTCCTCCTAGCCAAGCTTGCGGATGGTACTTGGTCAGCTGTGGATGTTACTACTGCGTTCTCCAAACGAGCCATTATAGCACATCAACTGGTAAGTATGTCCAATCTTGACGCTGTCCCGGTTTCGCGGCTCTACTAATGATTGGGCAGACTAATTGCCTCACCGAAATTTTCATCGAGCGCGCTTTAGAACGCGTATCTCAACTTGATGAGTACTTCAAGAAGACGGGTAAGACGATGGGTCCTTACACGGTATGAATTTCTATCCATGGTAGATTGTCATCCTCTCAAGTTGAAAGGGGATGTTTCTTTGCTTAGGATTACCGATTTCTTTGAAAGATCAAATCAACATTGAAGGGGTCGAATCCATGATGGGTAAAAATTTTCTCTCCAAATCAGCTCTCCGGCGTCAACTTGAAGCTGTTTTTTTTTTCTCCCTCGTTTATAGGTTACGTTTCTTGGATCGGAAGATACGCATCCAAAAACTCGGTCCTTGTAGACATGCTCGAATCCCTTGGTGCTGTTTTATTTGTCAAGACTAACGTCCCTCAGACTTTGATGGTACACCTTCAACGATCTGTAGAAGGCATGATTAATAAAGCTCCTTTTCAGTGGCCAGAAACATTCAACAACGTATTTGGGAGGACGACCAATCCCTATAATCGGTCCCTCACATCTGGTGGTTCTTCCGGCGGTGAAGGCGCGCTTGTTGGTAGGATGCTGACTCTTCTATTGATTAAATAGCGCTGAACGGCGCTCATACTATCTAAAGCGCTCAAGGGCAGTCCTCTAGGTAAGCCTTAGATTTTATCTTTTTAGAAAGGGTATTTATCGACGCTATCTTCAGGCGTCGGCTCCGATATCGGAGGGTAAGGCAAAGAAATCCTAAGATCAAACAATCTCCTCGCCTCCTCACGACAGATCCGTTCGAATACCCTCCGCATTCTGCGGCATCTACGGCCTCCGACCTTCCTACAACCGCATCCCCTACGCAGGGTGCGTAAACTCCATGGAAGGACAAGACTCCCTCCCCTCCGTCCTAGGGCCCATGTCCAACAGCCTCGCAGGCATCAAAACCTTCGTCCGCGCCGTTGTTGTTGCGCAGCCGTGGTTGAAAGACCCGCTTGCGGTACGGAAACCGTGGAGTGAGGAGGAGTATGCGTTGGTGGAGCATGGAGGCGGTAAGGGGTTGTGTTTTGCTGTTATGTGGGATGATGGTACTGTTAGGCCGCATCCGCCTGTTATACGTGGGTTGGAGGAGACGAAGAAGGCGTTAGTTTTGGCTGGACATCGAGGTGGGCTTTTTTTTAAAATTTTATCCTCAATCAGAAATTCGTTTGATTACCTGTGACTTCCAGTGATCGATTGGAAACCGCTGAAACACGACGAGATAGTGAAGGTCGTCGTAAGTCGCACGCTCTCCTCCGCTCTCCCTTTCATACACACCTCACAATAAATAACCTACAGGACGACATCTGGGGAGCCGGCTCAGCCCAAGACTACCAAACCGTCACCGCCATCTCAGGCGAACCCCTCATTGGCACCATGCTTCTAACTCCGGAAACGCCTATAGGAATAGACGAGACGCCCACATCTCGTCCACTTTCCAAGGGCGTGTCCGCGTACGATTTATGGCAGGTCCAGAAGAAGAGGAGGGAGCTGCGCCAGGAATATCTTGATCATTGGCTGGGAACTGAAAAGGTGACTGGGACGGGGAGGGCTGTGGATGCGATTATTTGTCCTGTGGCTCCGTTCGTTGCGCCTCCGCATGGTATGAATAGGTGCGTGTGCTGATCCACGCGTAGTAAACTTCTGACGGGTGGTTTTTAGGACCGCGGACTACACCACTGTTTGGAATGGCCTTGATTATTCTTCTCTGGTCATCCCGGTTTCCAAAGTCGATCAGGCATTGGACGCACGCAGGCCGCCGCATAAATTCTACAATGACGCGGATAAGGCGAATTATGAACTCTGTACCCAAAAATTGTGCTGTTGCGAGTTCACGCTGAGATATTTCCTTGTAGACGATCCCATCACATACGAAAATGCTCCTATTTCTATTCAGCTTGTCGGGAAGACGCTGGAAGAAGAGGCAGTGATTGCGATGAGCGAAATTGTCGACGCATTGAAGGCAAATTCGTCAGTGATACGATCTCAGCTTTTTTTTTTTTTTTTTTTTGTCCAATTCAAGTCTATTGGGGCGAAGCCCCATGTCAGACCTTACAACTCTGTAGATCTCAGCTTTAGGAGCTATTTATCATTTGGTACGCTTGAGGCATCTGCGGACTGAGTAGTAGCCTGAGGAAGCCAAATGCTTATTGGAGCGGAAGAAAGGAAGCAAAGACTTGGACTGGCGATACCCATAACTTGGGAGCGATAACATATTTTCCTCGTTTCTGGTGAGACGATGTGGCTGATGTTTCAACATCGGAACATGTCTACTAGAAAATTATCGCAGAAAAAAGGGCGAAGAAATTCAAAGCGAGTCAAGTTGCTCTTTATGCACGATTTGTCTGAATCGAATGATGTCTCTGGCTGAAAGGCGGGCTGCAGGCAATCACCCAAATGAAGATCATTAGTTGCTTCATCGAAAAAGTGCACTCACAACTTGATGTCCAGCCTGGTAAACTGGACTACGTATGTAACAGCAATCTCCATGTCAGAGAATCAAAAGGATGAGATAAAAATATTGGCTCACGCAAAAGAGAAGTCGACGTTCAGCATTTCCGCGACCGCCTTCCCATTCATCGTCATAATGGTGAAAGGGGTTTTAACGAGCCTATCATGGCCGTACCAATCCATTGCAGGGACGGAAGCGTGAGCTCCTAGCCAATTGCAGCTAGACAGACTTAAATTACAATTCAGGAAACAAATTGGATGGACACACATGATATCTGCATCCCGGCCTACGTAAGGTTGTAAGATTTATTCGTTACTACTGAGACGGCGAAGACTAACCCAAATCAACAATTTCAGTCCTGAATCGGCGAGAGGACCCAGTTGGGGAAGAAACATTCGCGGGGACTAAACACTGAGATAAGTCTAATTCTAACCTCTTTGGGTTTGGAAGCGAAAAGAATCACATCGCCGGTTTTGACGAAGGGTCGCAGGGGAGCATTTGGACATTCTTTATACCTCACCTCTGCACCAATCTTCGTTCTTGTGGAGTGCAAGTTTGACAAATCAACGTAAAACTCAAATGGGAAGAGGGCGGAAGTGTTTTGTCGGAGGTCGTAAGGGTCCCGGTTAGCGGCAGCTAGATTGAGGACATTATCATTCTGTATTTTCTTTTATTTAACAAAAAGCAATTCGACCCGCAGTAGGTGAAAAATGCACATACACAAAAATCGTCTGCTTTGCGGCAGATATTCTCTGAGTCAATCGAGTCTCCAGCTGCATAGCAGGCTAGTTCTTGCTCCCGGCACCCTCCCAGACCAAAGTAAGATTGATTGATTTGAGCGAGAATATTGTCCGGTTGTAATTGGCCATATCCGGGGGCGTTCGTCGCAAAGTCTACATACGCTTGACCTTGTAGCAGGCTAGTTCTTGCTCCCGGCACCCTCCCGGACCAAAGTAAGATTGATTGATTTGAGCGAGAATATTGTCTGGTTGTAATTGGCCATATCCGGGGGCGTTTGTCGCAAAGTCTACATATGCTTGACCTTGAATAAGAGGATCGTACCATCCACCAGACGAGGTAAGGGATGATGCATCTTATCGGAAGAAAATAGTCATCTTACTTGTTGATAATCAACGTGCTGACTTCGACTCTTTCCCCCTGAAGTAACCAGCTCTCAATCAAGGCGTTCTGCTTGTTAAAATAGGTGACGAAAGCTGGTCCATAATGACCACCGTAGCTATCCGTGGCAAGAATAAGTCTAGAAAGCGATCAGAACCCAAAATTCGACGCAAAATTGAAAGGCTTACTCTCGACTTACAAATTTTGAAAACGCACCGCTCTCAAAAAGGACCTGGAAAGCCTGCCACACAAACGGGGCGGCAGTTTCGGTGCTATTTACTGTATCATTCCCAATAGAAAATCCAGCGCCGATCGGTTCGTCGATATAAATCACTATTCAAGAGTTCAAGCCTAGGAGAACATCATCAAAACAAGGACACGCACTGTTGCTGATGTTGTTCCAGCTGAGAAGGAACGAATTATGTACTGGCAGTGTTGCATTCAAAAACCTCACCTGAATGAGTTAATAACAATAGTCTTTGAATCTGGATTGACATAGCACGGTCCGTTCTCTGTATATTACTGAATTCAGCACCAATTACTAGAACGGAGTGTCATACCTTGGAAAAGCCCAATCATGGACGAACACCCAGGTCCTCCACTCAGCCTGTTGCGTCAGCCAAAAATGGGATACGTCCCAAGGATATAAGGAACCTACCAGAGTGTAAACGGTGCAGTTTCAGGTGAAGTGCGGGATTCGAAGAACCAAAACCACTAGTTGGCCTGACAGTCAGACTACGGTCTCTAGCGCCCTCTGAAACTGGCAAGTGGCGAGCGCACCATGTGCATGTTCTTTCCAACAGTGATATACCCAGATTTTTGGTGGACACCGGGCGTCGTTTCACACACCCCGAAATCGCTAACAAAGCGAAGACTGACATTGGGATTTTTGACCAAGGCGAAGAATGTGGTCTGGGGCAGGAAGTTGTGATTTTTGCTGGAATCTGAGATTTGGAATGGCGACACAGTAGCTACCGCTGCCAAAGGCGGCAGAAAGGCAAGGACCAGGGTAGGAATAAAGAGGAATTTTGGTCGCATCTTTGTTTATGCAGTACCGTCCCAGCCTAGCTATAAGTAGACAGGAGCAATGAACGAGAACCAGTTTCAAGCTCTGATTGAGTACACGTACGTTAAGCCTTCTATGTAATCTGATGTCCGCGGGAGGGTGCTTCGAGGGTCGAGCACAGGAAGTTCAAGTCAGAGAAATGCACTAAACATCATTAAAAAGCCACCGACTCGGATCAGCTGCTGAGGCGGCAAGGCCAAAGGAAAGGCGGCGGAAATGATAGCAATAACGCTCACAACTACGATGAGATTCATGGCGCAAAAGGAAAGACGAGGGAGATGTGGAAGGGGTTGATTCTTACATACGTTAATTCCGGAGCGCGAAGTCCCGCCAGCTTCATCAGATAGGAAAACAGGATTGGAGTCCTAAATCTTGAATACGGGAATCTTGAGGAGTTTCGGCGCATTTTGCATTTGCATGCTCGGTCCCAGAACAGCCTTTGCAGGAGTATCGAAATCATGCAACGACGAACAGGAAACCAATGGAGCATTGAATAGAGCATACTGGATAGAGGACGTACACATCGTCGGTGAGATGTAGGAGACTGTCCGACGATATTCCTACTGGCTCTCAAAAGGATACTTGACGAACATGAAGGTCTGTGCCTTCTGTCCGGTCACGGGTGCTAGGATTATCTATCGAAATGACAAACGAAATGATTGGGAGCATAGAAGAAAGAAAAATGAGAGAGATCTACCTGGGAAATGGGTCCGCCTGGAGGATCAGCGGTCCAAACAACATCCCTATCGATAACCTTTATCTAGAAGGCGCGGATATTGAGTTGACATCAAAGAACTGCAAGGGCCAACTCACAACGTAGGTCTCATCCCCAGCCGGGGAAATACCCCAATCAAGGGCGGCCCAGCCGGGACCGACGACGTATCCAACAGACTGGCAAAGAGTAGTAAGCGACCAATAGATGAAAATTTAAAGGGGGAAAGTACAGTTTCTTCATTAGCATGTCGGGTGACATACTCCCCGCCCAAGCCTTCTAGCTTCAGGGTGAACCCGCCTTCGATGCCGGGGATCAAGGTGAAGATCGTTGGATAGGGGGGTGGGATGTCTGTTGAGAAGGCGAAGAGGGCCGTAGAGTTGTCGGCTGCTTGGAGGAAGGTGGCAGTCCTCTGGCTGACGATGCCGTATTTCCCAACTTGGATAGGCAACATAGCCTGGATGACTTTGTTGAAGTTAGTTGTCAGAGACGACGAGCGGACGACTCACAAAAGTGCTGGAAAGGTTTGCGAGGGTTAAAGCTGCGATGAAGGCAAGGCTACTAGTGAAGCGCATATTGAACGTTCTGTCTCTAGATCTTGTACGCTCTCAGGTTTGGAGGGTTTTTCAACGAGGTGAAGACGACTGGTCAGGGATCACAGCTGGGCTTTTGAGTGCGGATGGATCAACTTTGGTAGCACGGTGTGGGACATGAGAATGCAAAGCATGCGCTTAATGACGCTTAGATGTCGTCAAAGTGAGTTGACGGTTCGCTGACGATAGTGGAAGCCCCGTGGACGCTTTGCGCAAAATCCGAGGATGAGCGCCGCCCCCTAAAAGAGTGCATAGGACGTACTGTAATACGGCAGAATGCTTTCAAACAGCGGAGAAGATCACCGAAGCATACCGAGAAGAATTCTATTGGACATCGTCCTCCAGTACTGCATCGTCGTCGTCTTCTCCTGATGAAAAATTTATAAGCCATTCGCTCTAGAAGCATCGGAACGAACTAAACATGCTCGCTCACCTCGCCACTGGCAACCTTGTCAGTCCAAAAAACTTCATAGGCTGTGCCTGCTCCTTTGTAGCTGATCCTGACATTCTAGGACCACCCAGCATTCTCTTTCAGTTGAACAGATGTAACCTTCGTGCCAGCAATCAAACGGTTTTCTCCATGCTGGTTCCGCATCCTTCAACTCCTTTCGTCACACGTTCTTCGAACATCCCTCGACGTGATATGTGTCCTCATCCCCAAGAGCCCCGCCTAGGTCTTCTCAACGTTGATGCAAGTCACCACACTAAGCAGGCAGTGTCAGCAACATGAAGATGAAGACTCATGAGCTCAGAGTTACCTTCGTTATCATTTTGCGCTGGTGGTCAAATTCACCTGTTGTTGATAACAATGCGCTTCTGCTAAACGGTCAATTGGACGCCATGATTTGAGCTTTTGAAAGCAAAAGTTGTTCCTTTTTTCTGCATTGGAAAAGGTCAAAGTGAGAGCGTTTAAACTTTGAAGGAAGATCTGAATCTCTGATCTGTGAGAGCAAACGGGATTTGAAAACTCTCCGGAAACTCCATGGAGTTCGTAGAGTCAGGTGATTCCCGATCGAGCTATCACATGACTTCTAGACGACGCGTCAAGCAAGGCGCGTCTAGCAGCACAGTGTTACGATCCCTCAATTCGCAACAACTATACATTCATAATTCGTACCTAAATGGAGTATCTTACAATGTAGAATATCAATCACCTTCTCTTGGTAGCGAGCGAGGTGAGTGGGTGGCCAGAGACGGAAATTGGTCAACGACCTAGGTTGTATTTTTTGAAGAAACAAATGACAGAGTTTTCTCAAAGCACGCCTTGCACATTTGGTCAGTGCACGATCCTGCAGCAACATGAGTGCATGGCACCTTGATGCAGCGTGCCTTGATTGTCTTCTCTGAAGATGGCGGGAGAGGAAGGCCCTCAGCTTAAGGCCCACTCTGCATAACGGTTTGACAGGTGGTGGGATGAGACGAAGCGCAGGGTTGAGCCATGGAGGATGCTTGAGGCCACATGTGAAGAGGGACATCTGGCAGAGGAATAGCGACGACAGGAACGGTGACCGTGTCCCTCATCCTGGGTCACTGGATCATGAAGGTGCGGCAACGATATCCGTGTCCACGCCACGTGCACTATCACACATACCTCGTCTCTTCTCCACAACCATCTCTCATCTACGCCTTCGTCAAGAGGTCAAGAACAACCGCCTGGTTTCACAATGGTGGGGGCACTGTGGACTTCATCAAGATGAAGTCTGTAAGTGCAGAGGCACGGAGAATTCAAAAAAGGCAAGTCGTTTGGACACAATCTGTCAACTGACAATTGTGTCTAGTTTACCTACCGTCACTACCACCCTTGAAGACAAAGAAGGCTTAACCGAAACCTCCTGACTTTCATTAGCGCGTCCACCCGCAGCTTCCGAGAGTCGCTGGTCTGTAGGATCGGCCACCCAAACTTCGTCATTGACAACCCTCATAACTCCCTCATCCATTCATACATCAGAGCGTTCATCCGCAGCCCTTGAAGACAATGAATTCATAGGGAAAGCTACATCTCTCCCAATCAACATGAGCTATGCCCGCCACTGTTGCGTGAATGCCCTCCCTATTCAGGACCCTGAAGTCCACAATCCCTCTGCCCTGATGACCTTAATGATCGTCTCCCTAGGGAAGCTTCTACCCTACCAACGCCCAGACCCTCAACCGCCTCCTTATAAGTCAGGCAACTGCCAGTGCAATTCTTTCTCTATTCCTTCAATGAGTTCGACCACTCCCACTGGAGGAGATGACATCCATCGAAACAAGACTCGTAACACCAACAATTCCACTAGTCATGAACTCATAACCCCTCTGACAGATAAGAAGAAGGGAAAGGGAGTCTCCATGGCAGAGGAACCGGACCCTGAGGCCATAACCCCTGCGAATGACAGTCCTATGCCATCATCTGGGCCTGTACTTATGGGACCTCACTCCCTGGACAAGACGAACCCAGGGGAGATTTCCTCATATCCCGCTGCTTCTCAAAGTGTGAAACATATACCCGCAGCTAACAGAAGCGCGAGCTCTCTACCCCCCGCTAGTAAAAGCTCTAATGCGCCCAGCGCGCAGACTGCTGCTTCTAGAAGCACGAGCAATACGAACAAAGCTTCCAGGAAACCTTCCACTTCTGGCATGAACCAACCCGCAGCCTCCCTACAGCAGACTCCAGCCGAACCGTCTGAATCGGCTCTTGCCTTCAGAGAAGATTTGATTAATCTCCAGGCTGCCATCCATAAGGAAGTTGTGGAGGACGATACTCAATCTTCCTCCTTGAGCCATACTGAAGGAAGAAGAGTACAATACACAGCTTCTACCAAGTGCAAAGAGTCCGAAACCCAGACAATCTTCTGGGATATAGACGCGGCCCAGAACATACCCATTTGGGCTGAGTCTATCATCAAGTCAACTGAATGTATGTTCGGCAAATTCACTTCAGTCTAGTGTTTGGAAGTCTGGTCTCGTGACCAGAAAAAGACCGTAACCAGACCAGACCAAGACTGCAAAAGACTGGACCTGCAGTTACGGTCTTTTATTTTTGAGATGTAAAGACCGCAAAAAAACCGGTTAACGTGAACCGGTTTGGACCGGTCTTTTGTAACCCCTTAAATACCCTTTAAAACGCACCCAAGAACGTACGATTGGGTAAAAAAACGAGAGAGATATGAATTAAAATGTAAATTACTTTTGGGAATAATAGATGTACCAGACTTATTTTATAGAAACACCAATTCCTAACGGAATTTGACGTTCTTGGGCTCGTTTTGAAGCTAATAGAGATGTTAATAAATTTACCGATTCACAAATTTAAAATATTGGCCTAAAGACCGGTCATAAACCGGTTAAAACCGGTCTATAGACCGCAAAAAACCGCGGTCTGCGGTCTTTTTGCAGTCCGGTCTGGTCTTTTGACTTCTGGGGAAAAGGCAGACCAGTTATGGTTACGGTTAATGCCCCTGGGCATCAAAAAACCGCACCGAACCGGACTTTCAAACACTACTTCAGTCACCCAGTGCCAACTGACTATTAGTCATGCAAACTCCACGTAAGTTACATGACTAAATGTCATGGACCATATCTATATTCTAGATATATATGCAGTACTTTACCATCCCCCACATAATCCATATGGACTCCACTGGATTCCACTAGATTCCACTGGATTCCACTGGATTCCACTGGACTTCACTATATATTGAGACTTCACTACAGACTGGTACAAAACTGGACTCCACTGGACTGCCAGCTACTTTCAACACAAACCTGGACTCCACTGGACTGCCAGCTACTCTTAACACAAACCTGGACTCCACTGGACTCCACTGAACTGCTAGCTACTCTTAATACAAACCTGGACTCCACTGGACTCCACTGGACTGCCAGCTACTTTCAACACAAACCTGGACTCCACTGGACTGCCAGCTACTCTTAACACAAACCTGGACTCCACTGGACTCCACTGAACTGCTAGCTACTCTTAATACAAACCTGGACTCCACTGGACTGCCAGCTACTTTCAACACAAACCTGGACTCCACTGGACTGCTAGCTACTCTTAACACAAACCTGGACTCCACTGGACTCCACTGAACTGCTAGCTACTCTTAATACAAACCTGGACTCCACTGGACTCCACTGGACTGCCAGCTACTTTCAACACTTTAGGCAGCCTTATAATACAATCCCTTCCACCTCTGCCTCTACTAACACAAAACTGGACTCTACCAAACTATATGCTATTTCGCTAGCATTGCGAAATACATTTTTAATGATTTATCACAAACTACTCCTATTGAAGAGATACTCAATCTGAAAGATGCATATCATGATCAGTACTATTTGTAGAACTACTTTCCTTATCATCATCATTGTCTGAACCTGAACCACTTTCACTTTTTGAATCCATTTCTTCCTCCTGATTGCTTTCCTCATGACTCCTTTCTTCATCACTGCTTTCTTCATCACTGCTTTCTTCATCTGCTGATTCATCATCTTCCATAGATGTCATCTTGGCAAGCACATGCTTGACATGGTAAACAAGCATAGTATGTATAAACCAATTGAAATTTTGAGATGTCATTCGCTTCAAAATAGATTCATAACCAGCAAGCCATGCATTAAGCTGTTCACAGACTTGAGTGTTAAATTCTCTCCATTGAATAAGATTGCCATCCTCATCAATTGTTTCTCCCACAAGATTTGGTGCACTACCATCTTTTGGTGCAGGATTACACCATTTCCGACAAATTTCATCTGTGGCACAGTGATTGTTGTAGTGATATGTGTCAACAATAAAACGAGTTGTGTCTGTCCAGTCTTTCCATCTCTCACTTCCAACAGCTGTTTTGAAAACTTGACATGCTTTGTCAATGCATATATAAGAAGGTCAATCTTCCTTGTTGGGAAACAATTCATCAAGCCAATTAAGAATGTTAGTTGGAGATTCAGATTTTGGAAATTTGGTCCATGCAATGACAACTCCACATGGTGAACATGCTGTTTCAACACAATATGAGCGATTGGGTGAGAAATAGGTCTTTCGTTTTATTGTGGGTTGAGGATTTTCAGTCTCAACCTCATCATCATGTGGCCGCTGAATAGCAGCATCAGGGACATTTTGCCACTCTTGTCGTTCACCAGGACATTGAAGAACACGCCGAATACCATTAATGGTGGCTTTACTGCGATCATGAATACTTTTCTTCCAGTCAGCAACATGTTCAGCACAAGCTTGTGTTCCTTGAATTTTGTCTTTAGAACAGCCAACCACACGACATTTATTTGCAAGTGAAGCTTCATGCGTTGCACAGAGTGCACCACCACGAGCATTGAGAAGGTCATTGGTGCAATCATCAAAAGCACAAATCTAAGCAGAGAATCAATATTAAATTACAACCAAACTGAGTTGAATAAACAAACCTGTGGACCCATAACAACACCATCCAAAGTTAACATATTAACATCAAGTGTACCTGGAATGTGCTCTGTATCCTGCATTGTTCGTTTGAATGGTTTAGTACATTCAGAACAAGTGTGTTCTCTTGCACCTGGTATTTCACCATTTTTACCAAGAACAGCAAATGCATGTTGAGTAAGGTCATCAATAGCAATGTTAGGTTGGGTTTCATATGTTGTATTTGAAATTGAAGCCACTTCTCTAATAGAATGCTGCACAAAAGCTTGCCAAACTTGTTTTCGACTGATTTTGAATGTGTTGTCAGAGTCAATAACTCCAAAGCTATTGTTCCAATACTGTGTATAGGTGTTTGCAGATGCATGAAATGAGTACATGCCATTCAATAGTGCATTTGAAAAGACTGTGTCAACCCAAATATTGCTTCCAATTTGGAGGTATTTAGCCAAGTTCAGAAATATTTCTGTCTGACTGCCTCTATTATGATGTATTTGATGGTCAGCATAATACATTGAGTGACATGTTGTACATTCTCCAGTCAATGCAGCAACATTCTTAAGAATTGAGGACCCTTTAATCAAAGTCACCAAAGGTATATCACGTTGACGAGTATATACTCCAATGTGTCGAAATTTACATGAGGCAGTTGTACACTCCATGTCAATAGGACAAATCAGTTGAATGGGTTCAATTGCCTTTAGGGAAACTTTCTGTAACTTTTTGTTGAAAACACCTTGTTTATAAGGTGTAAGTCCAAGAAGCTCTGAAAATGCATCAAGTTTAAGAGCTAATGGGGTTTCCCATGAATTTGGTATAAATTCATTTGGTTGAAAAAGCATTGAGACATCTGAATCAAGTCGTTCATCTAATGCACGACCTAGTGATTTCATCCAACTTGATGCAATGATTTTCTTCTCATTTGGTAGCTTTGGATGCTTCTGACGTGCATGTAAATTGAGCAAGTCTGGATTCTCCACTAGTGAAAAAAAGACAAGCAGGACAGTTCCAAGTGAGATTTCAGGGTTGAATGTAGTCAAAATAAATTGACTAAAAGCCTGAAATGGGATATTAGGAAAGGGTGTTGTTGTTGACCCTGTGGCCAATACACAAGGAACAAATGCAAGCCATACAAGCAGCCAGCTTTTTGGTGATGTAGCCAATGTATAAGATTTTAAAGAAAGTCCAGC